TCCAGCCAGTGGAACTGTTACGTCTGCATTGCAGCCATCACTCCTGACAATTGCCTCCTATATACACTCCTGTCAGTGTTGTAAAAAGAAACTATTAATAACTTGCTGGTTAGTGTTAAGTCATCTCTACTGGTTCTGTTTGAGTTTCTAGAAGTGTTTGGAAATTTGGTAAGTTGGTTGCTGAAGTGAAGAGGGAGAGATGCCACACATTTGAGAAGGCTTTGGTCCTGAATTGAACAGACAGGCCATTTGCTCTCAGTAATGAGTGCAACTGAAATATTCTTATGATTAGATACAATAATATATCTTAATCCTTAACACCAAAAAAGTGCCACATACTCCATCACTGTCATATTTCAATTTCCAATAGTCACTCTGTATGAGGTAGTCAATTTAGTGCTAAAATGACTGTACCTGTCATTGGTTGATGCTTTTTAGGGACTCAGATGTAAAGTAACGTTGACTCATCTAACCAAAGGAGAGACAGATATTGTCCCTTACACCCAAATGTATTTAAATGATAGCCTGCGTGTGAAGGAAATGTGCTAATTTAATGGGACCACCTAATTACAACCTAATTTTCTCATCACTTTCACTGTATATCTTTGTGGTCTCTCAGTGAAGTTGCAATTTGAGGGTCTTTTGACTGGGTTATCAGGTAGCTTTTCACTTTAAATTTTTGTTCATTTTGAATTAGACTAAAATTTTCCAAACATTTGGGGCCACTGGATCCAACAAAGAATAGACTAATTTAATCTATTGTACTATTTTGTCTGCACCAATGTTATATAAAAATACAATTTGATTCAATATTATGGTCCAATATTCCAATTTTTTAAGAAGGTCAGATGAAACTATCACAGTAAGCAACATTCTTAAATTTAAAGGGTTTTAATGAGACTAAAATATAAGCAGTCAATCGTGACCATGCATTACAATGTTTATTGCAAATGTTTAAATTAGCTATGAGGGAAATGTTAGATCAGCTGATTAATTAGTTGGTGTATGGGTCAGAACAGTGCCTACAATGTCAGGCCAGTGCCTATAGTGTCAGGCTGATTGTGCCTTTCCCTCTACCTTAACCCATAGTAAAATCATGATGTAAGCTATAAAGGACAGGAAAGTAACTAAACAGGCATGAACCACTGTCAATTTGAAAAGTTAAATGACATAGCCGTGGAATATAAAAAAATTTGTGGAAATGATATATGAACAAAAGCAACAGTACTGGTTTTGGTGAGAAGGCTTTGTATGTGCTAAAACAGAAACATAGCAAGATTCAACATATTGATAGCAAACAACACTTTCTTAATAATACAAAGCAAATGGCAACATTGGAGAAGGTAGAATTGTCAGTAACATTTTCAATCAGAAGAACTTGTCAGTGGACCAGAAGTAGAACCAAAAAAGGAATTTAAAGAGTAAAACATGAGTATCAATGTAAAATAGGGGCACAAAACTTACTACCACATTTGGAAGATTTCAAGATGTAGAATCATTTTCCATGGTCCAGTCCTCATGCCTACAATCTCACAACTTCAATGTTTTGAACCAAAACTCTCACATAACAGGAGAGCACTATGTAGGAGTAGTGGACACTCATGCTAGATGAGGGAAAAATTATTCTTTTTAGCTAAGAGTAAAAATGAATTGAAGCTATAGAGACTGGAAGAGCTCAAAATATTTATAATAAATTAATTGAATTGCTTAATCAGACATTCTAATATTGTGTGACATGCTTCAGGAACGTATTCATATCAATTGCTTATGTACAACGGCATAAAGTTATGTCAATAAGCCTCAGCTCTTAATTTCAGAACAGCAAAGTTAAAAAGCAATTGAATGAGTGTTTTCATCTATTTATCATATAATCTTGTTTTCTTCATAAATCAAGGAGAAGCCAATCAATCACAGCCACATCCAAGAAGCATCAGACTTTGGTATTTTATTGGCAGTACTCCAATTGAATCTGGACCCAACATGGGTAAAAAGGTAAGGTGTTAATGATGATGATAAAGCAGTTCATGATCAGGCACCAATAAAACACTGGGCTTGGGTGAGAAAACAGTAGCATACATGCTTAACTTGGGGAAGAATTTATATAGTGTAAAGAGAGGAACCCATGACTGATTCATTTGATGTTTCAAACTGAACTATTTCTTGTTTCATATCTTACTTATTAAGGAGCATGCAATATTAATAAGTAATTTGCTTCCATAAGTATTATACTGCAAGGTAGTTTTGAGGACTCAATTTTAGTCTATGCATTGTCATCACAAAAGTAATGATATATAACAACAGCTGTTTACAGTGTTATCTGTCAAACAGCATTGGGTAACATTAGCTACAACTCAACGGAAAGACCAGTCACTCGAGCTATCAACGCATTGCAGTCCTTTTTGATTGTTCTGGTTGCTGCTAAGGACAACTTAGAGTCCAAACTCTCAAGCGCAGTGATGGATGTGGAATAGAAGTAGGCAGCATAATGGAGCTATTCCAAAATCTTATAAGTGTCTACAGACCTCAGTTAACATGGATCAATCAACCTCAGGTCAAGGTGCATTCCATCAATGTCTTGTATATTTGAGTGTTGTGCCGACAATATCGATGGTGATCTTTCATTGTTCGATGTATTAACCACTAGTCCTACTTCCTAAATAATATTTAATACAGTGGCATATCCACACAATTGCGAAGAATTAGACATCACAAAGAACAATCGTAACAGCGAAACATCGTAAACATTAAAATCAAATCTACAAACCTTTAGCACTTGTAGATTTGATTTTAATTCAAACTAGATTCTATTTTGGAATCCGTTATTCGTTCATCGTGCAGAAAATAAAACATTTGTTGTCTAAAACACAAACAACCCCATGTGTCATATAGCATAAGAAAGGAAATGAGAAAACAAGAAACTGTTATGATTATAAATTCATCCAATTGAAAGTATTCGTACCAAGTTACAGAACTCTCGGCTACTGCTCTTCCTGTTAACATAGGCTGCTCTGTTATTTGTTCTTGCTGTAGGTCTATTTATGATGCATGTAAGGGAATATTGAGCTACAGTTCCTTCTTAATGGGGAAAAATTCATGACCCGAGGTGTCTTATCGATGATGGAGAAGGTGTGCCATCAAAGAAAGAGCAGTAACAGTCAGTTGCCGCTGCCCACAAATTGCATTCGCTGCAGCTTTCAGTCTGCCAAGTGCACAACTCGGTCACAAATTCAACACGCTCAAGCTGTGTTCCTGCACCATGCCCAAAGTGTTGTTTTTAATGGAAAAGCTTTGTTATGTAGTAATACTTGCTCTGATCCTTTGTGTTTTCAGCGATCTCTCGTGGTCTCTAGTTTTACTTGATGCATTGTGGCAGACACGCTGCAGCACCCATGCTAACTCTCAAAATAGAGCGGGCCGAATCACTGTCATTACAACACTCATCATTGCTCAAGTTTATAATCTTCACCTATGCCAATGTGTGCAATCCTAGTTAGGGAATGTTACACTGTTAGTTTAACAGGTCTTCTTATAAGATCGTAAGGCCATACAGTACAGGAACAGAATTAAACATTTCGGTCTATCGAGTCTGCTCTGCCATTCGATCACGGCTAATATGTTTCTCAACCCCATTCTCCTGCCTTCTCCCCGTAACCCTTAATCCCGTTACCAATCAAAAACCTATCTATCTCTGTCTTAAGTACACTCAATGACTTAACCTCTACAGCCTTCTACGGCAACAAGTACCATAGAGTCAATAGCCTATAGCTGACTAAATTCCTCTTCATTTCAGTTCTAAAGAGTTGTCCTTTCACTCTGAGGCTGTGCCCTCAAGCCCTAATCTTTCCTTCAAGTTCACTTGATTTCTTCAACATTTTTTTTCAATAACACATTCTTAACGGGTTGGAGTGCTAACACCAGGAATAATAAAACATAACTTTTTTCTCCCATCACTCTATACTTACTTTATCACAAGTCTTTGCAAATAAGAATCGGTTATCCATCAAATCCAACAAAATTCTAAAGTTGCTTAATATTTAATTGAAATCTCCGTTTTCTTAACTGCCAAACTCATCCAATTAATTGTATGCAGGCAGTGTTAAATTTACAGATTGCCTTTTTCATTTCCTTTGGGCTAACAGGTATTTCAATAATCGTGCTGCCTGCTCGAGTTTTAGTTGTTCCCTTTAATAAGAGACTCGACTAATCATGCAAAATCGAAATGGAAAAGTTTTCTTTAAATTTTATCCCAAATTCAATACATGAACGAAAGTAAAATAGAAAGATGAAGTGTTGATGGAAATGTTTCAATTGTGAAAGTTACATTCAACTACAGGGGATGACCCAATGACTACTCAAGGTGTATGGGAGGGAGAACACGAGTCAGGGACCTTACTGACTGTTACCGCTCCGTACAATGCTCTACATTGCATTTAAAATTATACTTATCGTGGATAGAAACCAAACTTTGAGAACAGGGAGAAGCAAATTATATCTGAGGGACTACGGGAACAAGATATTTTATTAATATATAACACTGAGGCTAAAGTTGGATGCGCGAGATTAGTTCATTAATCATTTAGCAGGAAGAATCCGTTTTCATGCTATCTCCAAATATTTAGTTGAAGTCAGTGACAATGGAACCAAGATCAGAAACCAGTCAACCACTAGCTCTGACCAGCTGGACAAGGTTTATATTTTCAAAACAAAGTCTAATCGTGCCTTCCAACTCTGTCTGATTTCAGTGGAGGTGCAAAGTATGTTCAAGTCTGTCTTCAGTTTTTGAATTTAGCCATTCTAAATTTCAGGCAAATTCTGTCTGAATGATTTGCAGTATGTACTGAGCAGAAGTTTGTAGATTTACTGAAAATTAAACCTAGCCGTTCTATCTCATTTGCAACAATCTATAAAACAGCGGCAGGTAAACACTGTCACAATGGTTTACCAAACTAAAGGAACTGAACTGGGTGAAAGTGGAATATTGCTAAAGCGGAGCTCCTTACCTGATCATGCCGCTATACTGGGAGTACGCTTGCGAGTAGGTGCTGGACATTGCTTTGGTGCCACCCTGATAGCCCAGGTATGTGATGGGCTGGTACCAGCTGGCTGGAGCTGCTGAAGTAGATGGCATACTCTCATCCTGGATCAGGAAGTTACAGCCGAGTCCGGCCTCGGGGTGGGAGACGCTGTAGGAATCCAGAGGCTCCGTCTTAAACATCACCGCGTCTTCCATGGGAGGCTCAGCCCTAGGGGGTCCCCGGGGCTGCTGCTGGTTTGGGGAAGCGGCCGGGTACTCCGGGTACGGAGGGTATCCTGGGGGCAGATAGCTGAAGGTGGTGCCAGGCTCCGGGCTCATGCCCACCACCGCCTGTGGGGCTTCGGGTTTGGAGCTGGGAGAGGCGGGCGGGCCGGGCTCGCTAAAGCCCGGGTATGAGCTGGAGATGTCTGGGATATACGGGGCATGGTCACAGTCCTCAGCAGTGAGCAGCTGGTGGGTACGGGCTGCCAGGTAGATGGGGTTCAGGGGCAGGAACGGGAAGCGGAAGATGTTGAGGGGGGAGAGCTGGCCCCGGGTCTGGCGGTCCGGGTACATCTCCGCCTTCAGGGCCCCCCCGGCCCCTCCCGGAGCCTCCCCGGGGCATCCTCGCCGCAACCTGGCATCAGGGGGCAATGGTCTGTCACTGCCCCCGGGCCAAGGGCCAGCTTCCGGCTTGTCCACACCAGCACTGTCCGAGTTAGTGCTAGCCAAGCCCAGCTCACAGTTCACCCAGGGGGACGCTGCCGGCGCCTCACTAAGGCTGGGCACGGGGGCCAAGTCCATGTTGTCCAGGGCTTTGGGGCCAATGCTGCTTTTGTCCGGCTCAGTGCCAGATTTGGAGTCCAGCTCAGCCTGGGGCAGCAGTTCATCCATATACAGCCCCATGGAGTCCGAGACCGCCTTCAGTAAGTCCGTGCTACAGCCCTCGGTACCCGGGCTACCCCCGGGGTAAGGCAGCACAGGCTCCGGGCTCTGCTTTCCCTCCATGGGCACTGTCGCCTGTTGCCCTCTGCTCCTGCCCTTCTCAGGTGTGACCGGGCCCGGCCGCTGTTGGAGAGGTTCCCCGGGACTGGTTATCCATCGCACGGTCCGCTCCAGCAGCAACTCCCGCACAAACCGGCTCCCTGTCAGAAAGGGCACAGCTTTAACACAGGCTCACAGTGCCAGGCCGGCCAACCTCTCCCCCACCCTCACCGCCTCCCCCTCCCCGGGAATGCCCCAGGCAGCAGCCGGGCTCAGGGTGTCGGGGGTGGGGTGGGGGGGGGCTGGGGTTTACCCTGAACCCTGCAGTCTGGTCCTACCCCCGCCCCCACCCCCGCCTCACTCCCAAACTGAGTTTGTAAAGTTGGCAAACATTGGGAAATTCGACTCCCGGCGGCTGCTCTACAAACAAACAATCCACATCAACCCCCCGCAATATCTGTCCCCCTTTAGTTACTGCAGCCGGGGGCAGATGTGAACAAACTCTGCGCCTGCTGGAAGAGCTATTTCCCTGCTGAGGAGGGAGTTTGGCCACTAGCGGGGAAGGTGAGTGAGACACCAGCCCCTGGGTTTTATAGTGAAGGTTCTGGGCAAACACGGGCAGCTGCGAGTGGATAGTGCCTACCTTTAGCTGCTCGGCTCCTGCCTGCTTCCCTCTCTCCTTTCCCCTCACTGCCTCTCTCTCTCCCTCCCTCCTACCTCCCTCTCTCTATCACGTGTTGCTGGAGATGGGAGACTTTACGCACTGAGCAGCTACCATCACACGTCACAAAAAGTTTCCTCCTGAACTTACAAAAGAGAAACATCGGGGCGGGCTTTACCCGCCTCTCTCCTTGCCCGTCTCCTGCTGTAATTCTGTCTCTCTTTCCCCAGGGGAGTGTGGCCTCCTTCCCAATTCTGGGATAGTGATGATGATCATACACACAGTCGGGGATTGAAGCGGTGCTGCCGGCTACCTGGGGAAACTGTCGCTAACTCACTGCGCCTCTCCAGGTTTCAAACAAACAGCCAGCACCATCTACAATATCCCCAACTGTCCCTGAGCATCTTCCAGCAAAATCTTATCTCCACATCCCCTCCAAATCACAGCGAAATGTGGGCACAAGGAGCGCAGTCGCTGCCTCTCGGGTGGTTCGCCAGGAGGAAGGTGCCTATCGGTCTCTAGGAAAGAGAGACTGGGAAGTGGAGCTGGTCACTGGTGGGAATGGGAAAGTGCTGCCTGGGACTTCAGCCCGAGCTCCTGGTGCTGCTCTAATTGGCATTGTGCCCAGGGATAGCAGGACCCTCTGACTGACACTGGGTAAACTATGGGGTGTCAGTTCAGGGGGTTTGGGCGACGGGCAGCTGGGAGGGAAGTGGCCTCTATTCAGGAACACGAACACGGAGGCAGTTATTATCTCCTGGAAAATCACACCCTACTCCCCAAGACCCCCAAACATGAGGTGTGAGCCACTTCCATGCGCTTGAAAGCGCCTCCGTCTGAGACGACACTTAATAAGGTTAGAAAGTTTGAAAGACATTTTATATTATGGGTAACTCCCAGCTGTATTTCAGACCAGGTTAAGGAATGAGTGGGTGGTTAAAGGATTTGACCTGGACGTAATAACAATGAAAATCAAACAGACGTGGGGTTTGTGTGTTAGGGATGTTGAGATCATTGTGGAATGGACAGAGAGCTCCCTTTAAAAATATTTTTGACTGCGTCTCCCCCTCTCTGTTCCAAACTAACAACACTGACTTGTCTGTGCGGATAAAATGCATCCTGCCCTCCCCCCACTGACCGGTTCTGGGCTCACTCCGCCAGGCAGTGGGTGCCGAGGCGTTGGGAAGGGGGGAGAGATAGCTGAGCCTCACACCCTCCTTTGCCCGTTTTACGCTCAGGGCTCTGCGGACAGTAGGATGACCAGGAGAAAACTCCAGGGGGTTCTCCCTGAGCGGGGAATGTTGAGGCCAGTTCCAGCGCACTGCTATGGCTGGTCAGTTATTTGTGAATCCTGCCGTTTGGGAACTTTGTGTTTTGCCATGTTTACAATTCTTAAAAGAAATATAAAGAGCTGGGCCCGGAGTTTGAACTTTCGCGGGTTCTGCAGTTAGTCTGTTACTGGTGAGAAGCCTTTGAGTATGGTCCCAGTTGGACGAGAGCATCTTCAAACTCAGCACGGGAACTAACGGAAAGGATCTACAGGTCAAGGAACAACAAAATCACACCAATATATTTCATCTTTGATTCTTTAAAGTTCAATGTTTCAGCCCGAAACAATTACAATATTATATCCTGGGTGCCTTGTAATTGTATTTGTTGAATGCGGACTGACATCTTGCGATACAAATACACTAAAACAGAAAGCATTTAAAGTTTCATTGGAGACAAATGACTAAAATGCGCTCCAAACCTGCAACTAATTAACAAAGAAAGGCTGACTTTTGGCTTCTGCTGCAGCTGTAAATATTGTTATTATTATTGAGAGAGCCCCATCATTGATAAAAAACTCTCAGCGCACTAGTCCCGGTTGTTCTCTGGGATCCGTACGGCCGAAAGTTTGATAAATGTACAGAAGAAAGATGAAGGAACTTGGAGATATTGGACGTTTTGTGAGAGCGTGTCTACCCAAAAGTCAAATTATCGGGACAAACCCAATCGCTATATTGGAAAGCCACAGAAATTACAATTTATTTTTCTGTCTGGGAGTTCTTCCTAACTGTCTGGGAATGTTAGCGCACACACTGGGGCAGCTGAGAGATTTTTTGAGTGGGGGTCTCAGAAGTTGCTATCACTGAGACACAGGAACCTTTTACGTTAGAAACACTCTGACTGAATGATTTCCTGGATTATTTTTACTTGAGGGAAGAACCTTCAATAAAATCTGTACAATATGCAACGACGTGGGCAACATTTGAAACTAAGAGGCGATGGTAGGGAATGCACAAGGAATGTCATGGGGTGGCGAGAGGCATCCTGATTTCGGATTTACAACACGCTGAGTAGTAGAAATCAGCCCCCGGAGGCTCAAGAAATAAACCTGGCAGATGATGGTGGACAATAAGATATCCCTTAATATTATCCGTCTGCAGTGGCCCTTGTACTGATGTAATCACAATCTTTTATAATCTGGACTCCATCACAGTCAATGACAATACTGTACAAAGTATAATTTTATTGTCAATCACTAGACCATTTTGAAGGACCCTAAATCTGTTCGTAACAGCTAACAAATATAAATTATTATATTTGCTCTCTGCTGGAGAGGATTACGCTGAACTGCAAACAATGGGACAATAAATATTCACTATTTCTAAGAAGCTAACTATCCAGGCTTCGTTATTCATACAGTCACTGATTGTGGTAAATTGCATCAGAATGAAAATAAAAATGCATTAGCATGTAATATTTACTGCTAATGGTTGTACACCATTTGCATCTAGGTACAACAGTAATATTTTAGTTTTAAAATGCTGTAAGATAATTGGTAGATTTTGATCTCAGCATTCCCACAGTAATAGATGGCCTATATTCCTCACGTAACATCACAAAACCCAGGACTTGAAATGTACTCAACTAAAAACAAAATACTGTGAATGCTGGCGATCTGAAATCAACAGAAAATGCTGAAGAAATTCAGAAAGTCTGGCAGCTCGTGTGGAGAGAGAAAAACACAGAGTTAACACTTTCAGTCCCACACCTCCTTGGAAGTTCTGAAAAAGAATTAGGAGATTCAAAAAGTGAACTCGTTTCTCTTGCTGCAGATACTACCAAACTTCGAATATAAAACAGTACAGCTCAGGAACAGGCTCGCCAGCCCACCATGTCTGTACTGATCATGATGTCATTCTAAACTAGTCCTATCTGCCTGCACATGGCCTGTATCCCTCCATACCCTGCCTGTTCATGTATCTGCCTAAATGCCTTTAAATGTCTTATCCTATCTGCTTTTACCACCTCCCTTGGCAGTGCATTCCAGGCACTACCACCCTCTGCATAAAAAAATCTTTTCCTTACACATCTCATTTAAGCTTTCCCCTTCTCACCTTAAACCTATCTGCTGTAGTATTTGACTTGGGGAGGTTCTTCAGCACTTTCTATTTTATTTGAAATGCTGGTTGTGCCTGAGTTACCATGTGACCAATTAGATCTCAGTGCCAGTGAATTCTATTCTCTCCTCTCTGTGTCTACATGGTCTGATAAATCCGAAGACTTTACCAGCAATCCTGAAACTACTGAAAGTTCACATATGTTGAATACTTGATAAATTCTTTTCCAATAATACATGATTATGTCTACGACTTAAACAGATATTAACACAAGGTTCTGAGGAAGAGTCACCGGACCTGAAACTTTAACTCTGATTTTCTCTTCACAGATACTGCCAGATCTGCTGAGCTTTTCCAGCAACTTCTGTTTTTATTAACACAAGGTAATAGCAGTTGTTGAAAGTGACTGTCCCTATTCATCTGCACATCTCGCCAGTCAGCTTGGTTTTGAAAGGTACGTGAAAACTGAAGCACGTATATAATGGTATCAGGAGGTGGGCTGAAACCCCAGGCTATCACAATCCACCATATGAATGCTGCAGAAAATTGGAAGATGTTTGAACAAACCACAACAGAATTTGACCAGAAGCTGGAAAACATGAAAATGAGGAAGAATCAGGCAGACTCCACTCCAAATGGACATACCAGGGCATTGCTAGAGATGGAATCTACATGAAACTGGTGCTGAGTAAGTATTGCCAACTGTAAATAATTTAACTTTGTTTGATATATGTTCAACAGAAGAATGCAAGTCTTGGTGAAACGTGTTACCTCTTCTGTATAACGACTTGCAGAAACATGCAAGGACAACACCATATCGGAAGAAGACAGCCTAAGACTCACTTATGTTTAAAGTTGTGGATTTGAAGTTTGAAGAGAGATTCCTTCAGGGGGCTAATCTAATCTTGTTGAAAATTAGTGGATGAAAACATGGTTATGCAACTCCTAGTCAATAGACAGAATGTGAGTGTGGTACTTAAAGGCAGGGAAATGCCAGGGTTTGAAGAAATAAGTTTCAGGGGAAAATAAAGAATCTTTAAAGCCTCTTGAGTACTGCAATAGTGAACAGAAACATATGAGTTGTTCAAGAGATTGGTATGCCTAGTCTTTGGGATGATGTGCAATAAGAATGGAAAGAGCAACAAATAAATGGTGCAATACTGTGAAAAAAGAAAAGAATTACATGCACAAACACAGAAAACAATAGAAATAGATGAAAGGTCACGAACAGAAGGAGATTTTGTCATCAATGAAGTCAATCCTAAATGTTGTATAATTTGGAGTGTGTTATGTGAAGCCAGAACCAGGCAGCTAAGTAAAATTTCAAATAGATGTAGCTGCTCAAAGGGTCAAACAGGTTCTCACTTCAGCCCAGTCTAGCTCCATGGAGCACAAGCCCTTGTCCTCACATAGGATGCTGCCACCAATGTCATTTCACTAGTGCCTCTGCTTTTCCCTGTCAGTCAGCCAGCCCAGACTGAAGCCACTCAGGCCAAGATGGTGCAGCACAAAGTTAGACCCTCATGGCCCGGGATTGCTCGAAAATGCCCTGCTATTACTGTCTGCAGTCTCCCTCTTCACAAACTATGCCACAGCTGTTGGGTAGCACAATGTCGAAACTCAAGGCCGAAGCAAAAGCATTCACGGGATAGAAGCTAAGAGGAAGCACAAGGATAATAAGTTGAGCATTGAATATGGTTTTGGAA